TTGAAAGCATCCAATACCATCTTGAAATCCATTGTACAATGTGTTGCAATTGGTGTAGATAAACCAATCCATTCCAAAACATACTTCCAAACCAATGATGAAATCGAGAAGTTGAACATCAAGCGATATATTGACTGTAGCTCTTCATTGCACAATGCACACTTGTCTAAGGTAGAATCCAAAATGATGTTTCTTCCAAATAACAACTCTCTAATGGGAAGCCTGTTATGAAGTAGTTTCCAGCAAAAAGCTTTTAACTTTGAGGGTACCTTCATCTTCCAAAGTTTCCTCCAAATGGCATTCGACTGCTCATGATGATCATGTTGAGCCTCATCGATCTACGAGTTGTTGTAGCAGTTTTTGACAGAAAAATTGTGATGTGAAATAACCACCTAAACGAGTTGATCTTTTTCCAACAGATTTGTAGTAATGTCTGTCAATATCATATTCAAGTATTGGAGTTCAGATGCAAAATCTGGTAGCATGGAAGATCTGATTTCCTCAAGTTGTCAATGTCAAACACCATGTAACCAAGTACCATAATCACATACCTTGGCCAATTTGTTTGCTGCATGAGAGTAAAGAATAGGGAAAGTAACATTCAAGGATGAGGGTCCAATCCAAATTCCTTCCCAAAATGGAGTTGACACACCATTACTAATTTTGAATTTAACTATATGTTTTAATCCAACTCTCTCATCCATATTGCACTTGATTTTTTTCCAATGATCATGAGATCCCTCTTTCATATTGGTTGTAGGGAGTGATAATGTTTGTCAATGTCCAACCACAGGATGTTAATGATACTTCCATATCTATGTGTCATAATTCCATTCCATATAGCATCATCTTCATTGAAAATTCTCTAAATCCATTTGCACATCAAAGCTTGATTGAATGTTCCTATCTCCTTGACACCAAGACCTCCATCAGCCTTACTTCTGCAAACCACTTGCCAATTGATCCAGTTGATCCCCATGCCTTCTCTCAAACCATGCCATAAAAACTGTCTTTGTATGCCAATGATTCTTTTCTTGACAGATTCTGGCATCTTATAGAATGAAATGTGATGGATAGGTAAATTATTGAGCACTGAATTCAATAAAGTAATTCTGCTACCTAATGAAAGAGATTTGGCTTTCCATCTAGATAACTTGCTCTTTATGTTAGAGATGATATGCTGCCAAGCCTCAATTTTCCTTGGATTGACACCCATTTTGTTCCCCAAGAATTTGAATGGGATTTTGTCTATGCTGCAAAAGTGGAAATTGGAAGCTGCCAATATGAAATCAGGGGTTAAGCCAATTTCATATACTTTACTTTTTCTCATATTGATCCTTAGAACAAAGACCATTTAAAAAGCTCTTAAAATGGTTTGATAGCCCACAGGTTACTCAAGGATCCATCTCCAATAATGATTGTGTTATCAGCAAACTATAGTAAGTTGAAGGAAGGTTCTCCAAGTCCATCATCCAGTCTGAATTCTTTGAAGAAGTTGGTGTCCACATCATTCTTCATAATTCAAGTCAGGCCTTCAGCTACAATGACAAAAAAGAAAGGTGATAATGGATCACACTGCCTCAGATCCCTATACACCTCAAAGTCTTGATTTGGGCTTCCATTTATTAGACTGAACATAGTACTTTTAAATACAACCATCCATCCATCTTATCCATTTCCCTCCAAAGCCCATCCTACCAAGCACGAATCTTAAGAAATCCCAGCTAAAATTGTCATATGCCTGAGCAAAGTCCACCTTAAAAAGCAAGCATTCCTTTTTTCTTCTCTTGGCATAACCAATGATCTTATTTATGGTTACGACACCATCAAGGATTTTCCTGCCTGGTATGAAACCAATTTTTGATTTGGATATTAACCTAGCAATGATTCCTTTGATTCTATTGGCCAAACGTTTAGCTACCACTTTGTATAGACTACCAATTAAACAAATTGGTCTAAAGTTCTCCATATTATGTGGGTTTTGGATCTTTGGAATGAGAGATAAAAAAGAAGCAGTGAAGGCTTTAGGGAGAGTGGTTGTGTTGTGAAATTCTTGTACGACATCAATGATTTCCTATCCGAATAGATCCAAACAATTCTTTATGAAAGTGAGGTTAAAACCATATGGTCTAGGTCTTTTGTCCCCATCACAATCCCAAACGACTCCTTTTACCTCATCCCTAGAGAACTCTTTCTCAAGGTCAAGAATGTCAGCTTCAGTCAAACCGCTAAAGTGAATCCCTTCCAATATTGGTCTGCATCCACCAGAGTTAGTGAACCTGTGTTTGAAGTGTTCTACAACAGTAACTTTTATCATGGATACATCTTCAATCCTTCCCCTATAAGTGTTTAAGGAAGTAATATAATTTTTCCTTCTTCTACAAGTCATCATATTATAGAAGAATCTTGAATTCAGATCCCCTTCCTTTATCCATTGTTATCTAGACTTGTGTTTCAACAGACTTTCCTTTAAATGAAGATTGCTCCAAATAAGATTTTGTGCATCTTTCCTAGCTTCAATCAGATTAGTGAAGGATTGTGAATTGATGGTGCATTCCAAATTTTTTAGGTCCTCAATAGCATTGTCAATCTTGAGATCAATGATTCCAAAAACCTCCCTGTTCCACTTCTTCAGGTCAGCCTTGAGTAATTTGAATTATTCTTTTAAGATGAATGCCCTCATGCCTGAAATATGGAATGAAGACCACCGCTCCTTCACAAATGTCAAGAAGTGTTTGTTTTCAAACCAACCATTGGTTGATCTAAAGGGAATGGGACCCTAATTCACATTGCTTCCTTTGATCCAAATAGGGCAGTGATAAAAAACATCCCTATTCCCAATTTCTTGTGCTACAAGTTTCCAATTGTCTATGATACCTTCAAACACAAGGAAATGATCAATCCTACTCTTTGATCTCCCATCAAGACTGAACCAAGTAAATTGATTCCCAACAGTTGGCAGATCAACCACCTCCATTAAATCAATGAAAGAAGCAAAGTCTTCTATTTCCCCTCTATGGCTTCTAAGGCTGCTACCTATCCTCTCACTGCTATGTTTAATTGAGTTGAAATCCCCCCCAATGAACCACTCCCCTACATCTAATTTTTCCTTCCGTTCACAATCTCTTTCCGCATTTTTCTTTTATCAAATAAGCATGAAGAGTAGATGTTCAAAAAGAATATAGCGGTACCTCTGTACATGGTTTGGATACCTATGAAATCATTCCCTTTGAAGCTCACAATTGGATTAATTATTCCACACCTCCATATAGTGATTAAAACACCCGAGTAGCCACAGGCATCCAGAGCAGACCAAGCCATATCATCATGACCCCATATGTCTCTTGCAATTGCTTCTGTCATTCTTTGAATTTTTGTTTCCTGAATGAATATTAAGTCAACCTTGCCCTTTTCCAGAAGAAAACTTAATCTATTCCTTTTAATGGTCGTGCCACACCCTCTTATGTTAATGGATGTAACAATCATGGGAAAGAGATTTCATTCTCCAACCTTGCATTGGCACTTTTGAGATCCCTATGCTCCATGGTTATGATGATATCCACAAATACCTCATTCGAAGCATCCCCAACAATCCCGAGAGATTTAATAGGCATCCCCACCCTAGATGCAACATCATAATCTAAGTTTTTCAAAGCTCCAATGTTATCTTGTTTAATACCTCTAGTGGATATAGAATCACAATACAACACTGAACCTCCTGGAAAATTAGTGGGTTCATTCAAGGAGGTATCAGGTTGAGAGGAGAAAAAAGTAGAAGGTGGAAAGAAATAATTTAGTGGTTCAAAATTATTTGAGGTAGGCCCCTTAGCTTTGCTCAATATGTCCACCATGGGTTTCTTCTTTTTAGCTTTAATGAGCCTAATAGCTTATGGTTCTTTTGATAAAAGCCCATTCAAGTTTGTTGAGATGGGATCTGATGACTCAACCACAACCACCTCAGCCTTCTTTGAACATGCCTTTTTCTTTTTGTTTCCATGAGGCTTGGATAAATGACTGGATCTATTAGCTAAAAGGTAATGTTTGGTCATTTTCCCATGTGCCAAAGTTGAATTTTGCCTACCCCTTCTTTTCTTCTGGCTTGTTATATCAAGGGTTCCACTTTCTGCCCCCTTCTCTAAAAGACCCTCTACACTGCAGCCATCTATGGCTTCATAAGGTAAATTGTTACATCATATGTACTTTTATTATTTAGTTGTTGGATATGTTGTTGTGAAGTCGCCCCATCCGTCTTGTCTACCACCAATTTTGTCTTGGAAGGAGATCTTTCAGTGCCTAGGTTATCATCATCTTTCTCCTCTCTCTCCATCCCCTAAACTGTGTTGTCTTCATCAGATGAAGAGTTGTCATAAACCATATATTTATCATGTTGTTTGGTTGTAGCAATTCTCTTTGGACCATGTAATCCTTCCACCATTTTTACACGATACACATGATCATCTATCTCCACATTGATGACTTAGTTGAGGACCATAAAGTACTTTGTTCTAACAAGGATTCTTGCCACATCAAAATTCTTGTTTCATCATCTGCATAAATATATTTTCCCACAAAGCACGTGAGGAATTCAAAAACCTCAGGGCACTATGCATGGCATGGAACACCAAAACACAATATCATATTAATCTTTCATTGTCAATATCTCCTGATGTCCATGACCTAACTTCTGTGAACCATTGAGCCAACCAATCACTAGCATCTTCAGCCAAGGCTTTCAGTTCCCCTTCTTCCATTTCCTCCATTATACTTAGATTTGCACCCATTGGAGTGATTTTGATCGAAAAATAGCCTTCCAAATGGAATGATTCTTGAATTTTGTAAGTCATTCTCGGATTTGCCACCACTCCCACATAAGCTTTCTGAAGTCTAATGTTGTCATCAGGCTTGGCATTAAACTTAAATGAGAAAAAACGGTTTTTCCTCGTTTGTATGATGCTTATGTTTCCATTGACATGTCTTCCCTTTGTCCGAGTTACCATTTTTCACCACCTCAGCAAATGTTTTGGATCTTCCATTAAAATTCTTGGATGAATGTTATGGTTGTATTTGTTTCCATGGTCGTTTCCGCCCGAGTCTTCATCATTCTTGGAGGCCTGATTGTACCTTTGAAATCTTGGAGTATTAACAAACAGTTTCACATCATTAACAAAGATGTTGTCCAACTTCATAACCAAAGATGTCTCATCAGAAACTTGGAAGAACCTAACAAAACCACATCTTTTGCCATTCTTGTCTCGCCTTGATGGTATCACCATTTCATCAATGTCCCTATATATCTTGAATATGTCGTAAATTTCTTTAGCTCCATGTGATTTTGGGAACCTGGTGAAGAAGAAGCTGGTACTTGTGTCTTGCATCTTATCCTTCCTTCTCATGTTGGATCTTAGGTATGGTCTTTGTTTATGAAAACCTGGTGTCTTCCATCCCCTACACCTTACATGTTACCACTCAATTGAATGTTGATCACCCATTATTGATGCTAACTCTTGTCAAGAAGAACACTAACTATGTTACTTGAAATTAAAGAAGATGAAACAAAGTTGAAACAAAACTGATTAACAAGGTCCCTAGTCCTTGGACTAGGAATTTAAACCATAGTTAATGATTCAGTTCGTGATCTTTGTTGTTCCCCAGAATGTTGTAGTGTGAAAAAGATGATAGAAAATAATAATGTAGTATTAATGTTGATACATGAGAGTATTATCGTGTATCAAATTTTACCACCGTAAGAGATATGTGAGACACTCTTAAAATAATTTATAAAGATATTACTCAAATAAAAATAAATTGAATGAACACATCAGATCAAAAGTTTAAGTTATGTAAAATAAAATTTGAAAGAAACATTCAAAAATGGTTTATCATTAAAATGAATTATCTCAAAACTCTTGACAAAATTTTTAAAAATAATAATTTGACTAAAAAAAATTCTTAGATTTATAAATGTTGGCAATCTAAAGCAACTAAAATTTTAAATGTGGACAATTCTTCTTCTAGAGGTTTAATTGTTATACTTGATAAATAGCAAGAAACTTTGGACGGGTTAAAGCATCTCAAAAAACATATAGAGATAGAAAATAAAAATAAAAAATCAATTATAAAGGAAAATATCTAAATATATGAAGGTGATAACAAAAGATCTTACAGTCTAACTCTATATGAATAATGAGTCATATGTCATCATCTGCAAATATTTGAATAATGAATCATATAAATTAAAAACTATTGTTTATATTTCTTAAACGACCATCATCTCTCTTGAAAATGAAAAACTAGTAGAAAAAATTGATTGTGTTAGAGAAAAAACAAAATATTTTAATTCATGACTCTTATTCTACTTCTTCTGATTTTTTAATAGATAAATAAATCAAGTGAGTAGAATGAAAGATTTTAAAAATATAAAATAGAAGACATGCATTGCATTCTTAATAAATTTATCAAATTTGAAAATAAATTGAATATCATTTTAGATAATCAAAGATGAATATCATTTTAGATAATCAAAGATGAACTTATAATAAAGATGAATTAGATATCGATCTAAAAATAATACTAAATTATTTGAAATATTTTGTCACTCAAATAGGACCTATAATTATAACATTCATAAATGGATTTATTGTGGTAAACCTAGTCATATTCATTAACCTTCTTTAAAAAAAAAATAATTAAAAACAACCTTTAATCTTAAATTAAAATACAATTTTTGTTAAATCTCAATTTATAATTTTAATAAGTGAGATTTAACAAAATATTCATTCATAATAGGTTTCTTCTAAAACAGCCTATTATAAATTGAGATTTAACAAAATATTCATTCATAATAGGTTTCTTGTAAAACAGCCTATTATAAATTGAGATTTAACAAAAATTATCTTCATCATAACCTTTCTTAAAACAACCTATTAAGTAGATTTATTCATAGCACCTAAAGGTTGTAACTTATTAAAATTAAAGGTTGTTTTTGTTAATTTTTGTTATAGCATGTCACTAAATGTATTATCTTCATCATAACCTTTCTTCTATATATGCCAACTCTCATGAGAGATGATTTTTCATCATCAAAAAAGAGGAATAATATGGTTTTATGTGTTTAACAAGGCTTAACAAATTTTGATGATGAGAAAAAGATATCATAAGCATCATCAATGTTAAGAACAAATATTAACTTAAATTATAAAATGATAATTTTTTGTGATTGGCTTAAAAGAATGAAATGCAAAAGAACAACATCAAGAAATTGAATGATCTATTAAAAGCTTGTATTCTAATCATGTGTTGATGTTTTTATTTTCTAGGATCGTCTATGTAAATTAAGTGTGTGACTCTCAAAGTACTATAATCAACACACACTGACAAAATGATTTTCAAAATCTTCATCTTCTTCATAAAATCACTTTGTAAGACCAAGCATAACCCATTAAGAAGTTTGTACAATTCATTATGAAGTAAAATTCAACCTATAATTGATTATGACAGTTGTGGAATTAATTATGAGGAAAAACTCGCTTAGTAGTCAAGTATAAAGACTTGCAATTAAATTTGCTTCTGATCCATCAAAATGTTCCGCATTTTCTAGTTCATAATCGATTATAGTTATAGTCTATTTGATTATAGACCGAATCGAGCCTTTCCAAAGTTTCGAAAATTGTATAAATCTTTTACTATAAAATGAGGTCTTATATTCATTTTAAAAAACACAAATTTTCTAGAAAACACATTATTCTCTGCTCTTACCTTGGTTCTAAAAAATTTTATACATTTAATTTAGTTTTAATATTGAGAGATTTACTTCTTAATATTATAACTTTTGTAATTCATTGTTGTAACTATGTTCTTGAAACTGTAAATCTAAGAGATGGCTTTTCTCTTGAACTGATATAAGTATATAGGTTGTAAGTTGAACATGAGATAAAAGTTATGTAAAAAGTTTGTGGGATGGTATTGTATAATAAGCTCTATTTTTTATAAGCAAAGGGTACTTCAAACCGTACAACAAGTTTGAACTAAGGCCAATATCAAAGTTGAAAATATTTATCCATTTTCAATAAAGAGTTGCAAGGAATCTACTGGATCATATGCTTAAAGTGTTGATAAAAGAAAGTGCACCAACATCTTACAACAAACATAAACCAACATTTTGAATAGAAGATGATTAAGTAGGCACTACCTAATTCACATTAGGCATGACCCCACAAGGAAAACATAATAAAATACTAAATTCTATGTGTCGCAGTGGCAAAAATCATTGAGATTAAACTACTGATTAACTTAACTCAAAAAGCAAGAGTTGCTACCAAATTTTATTGTTTCCAAAGAGAAAAGGAAAAAGCTCGAACAAATCCCATAAAAGGTAAAAGCTAAAAAGAGAGATCTGGATACAAGGATTGGTTATTTAAGGGAAAGGTATTAGCACACCTCACATATGTTAAACTTAACGAGAACCACTTGCAAATCTGTGTTTATCTAAAGCTGGATTGCTCGTTGATTGATTTTTATTGAAAATATATTTTGTTGTATTCGAGTGGAAAAACTCAACTTACTACCCTCAAGTATGAGGAAATGAGCATTTGCATCATCCTGTATGGAGAACCTTTACTCTGACTTTCTCACAAGTACATCTCAAAATTCAAGTGGAAAATGTCAGTCATTTCTCAACATCTTGTAGAAGTATAGTGGTTTGCATCACTGTAAGAATAAGCTAATATCCAACCTTTTGAAAAAGACTCTTAAAGAAAAATGCACAAAGGCACAAAAAGAAGTTTGACGAGGTTTGTCTTTTTTAAAATTTTGAAAACAGTTTGAGTATGCTTAAGTGTTTTAGCATTTATTGAGAAAAGTATTTCCTGGATCACTTGACAAAGTCAAGTTTTATTGAGAAAAAGGTGTGAAGTTTGAAAACAAGAAGTTTTTGAAATAGAGAGATGTTTTAAAATTTTAAGAAGTGGGAAGGAGAGGGAGAGACTATCCTAAAGTATAAAGTAAATGGTCTCATTGTCAGGTAGCCCAAGAGAAAGTCTTTCTGTGTGTAAGTATACTAACCACAAGAAGAGGCAAGCATTTGACATTGGTCAAAACAAGCATTTTTTTCCCTTTAAATTGAGCCATAATATGAACAAGAAACAGGCACAGATGAATATTAAAGGAAAACTAAATGGACAATTAAGGTCGTCAAGCCATAAAGAGCATCTAGGTCTTGAATTGAGGATCAAAAAGTCTCAGATGAAGCATTATGTCTCATATGAATCACAAGGTCCCAGATACCACTCCATGAAAATGGAAACACTAAGTCTTAAAGTCCAAGGTCCAAATACTCCTCAAGCAAGGGATAGTAACATGAAGTCCATGAGATCAAATTAAAGATTATTAGGTTTTTAGCCATTTTATGATGTTTTTTTGTTCTTTTAAAATAAGAAAGAAGTAAAGAGAAAAAATAACAACTAGAATACAAATGACAATGAATGTAAGATGATATAAAGTAAATGCATGAAAGTAAATGACATAAATGTAAAAAAACATAAAATAAATGTTAGATGTTAGCATAATTAATATGTCAATGTTAGTATTAGTGAGATTTTAATCGCGTTGGGACATTTTAGCGCTATGTTAAGCAATCGTAAGTGGACTTATCTAGAAGTCACACCTATCTGAGGTTGGTCAATAACAATTTATGTGCTCAAACATGCTAGAGAAATGATACAAAATCATTCTCCTAAAGCAATGTAACACAATATTCAAAACAAAAAGAAAAAGAGATGGAAAAGAAGAGAGATAATGTCATCATGTAGGGACCATCTAACAACAAAACTAAAGCCTCAAAGTAGAATTACCTAAGGGATAACCTATCTCTGATGCAAAGTGTCACAGATGATCAAATGATCATCCATCAACATGTTTGAACCAAAGAAGGTTCAATCAACCAAAGAATCGCCAATCAAAATATTTAAGATGTTGGAGACATGATCAACCAAACAATCATCAAGTGGCAAAATATAAGTATCAAGAGCATGAATAAAAAACAAAATGAAAAGAATTAAAAAATGATTTAAAATGGAAAATTAAATGGAAAATTCAAAATAAGGATCAAAATATAAAGTAAATAATGGAGAAAATTATGAGAAGCCCAAAATATTACATATAAAAAAATCTCAAAAGTTGGATGCAAAAACATTTGAAAATGATCAAAAAATAAATTGAAAAATGAAAAAAATAAATGAAAAATAAGAGAAAATATGAATTAAATGCATAATGATTTTTTTTTAAATTATGAAAAAATATATGTGTGATAGAAAATATTTTTATGAAATTATGAAAAACAATTTGGAGTAAAAAAGGTCAAAGGACCAATCAGAAATTA